GCATGTCTGGATAATGCCCTCCTCAAGGCTTGCGAAGCCCCAGATGTGTTGAACACACACTTCGTGGTCCCCTTTACACTTGGAAAAGTCGATGACGCACCAGACATGCCTTCTGTCCCTTGGCAGTCTTTGGACCACTTGATGGTGATCCTGCCGAACTACGTGAGTAAGAACTTGGTGCAAGGTATCCAGTTCGTTTTGCAAACCCAAACCCAGCCGGACGATCAGTCGATCCTGACCCACCTGAGGAAGATCTACCCAGCACTTCAGCCCACCCGCATCCTACAGCAGAATGTCCAACCCAACCCGACGCAGTCTGCTCTGGACGACCTCCAGGGGTCACTACAGCCATGGATGGACGGCAAAATTGTGGAGAAGTTGAGTGGCCTGATCGACATCCTTACGAAGCTGCAGGTGGAAGTCACGCCGATGAATGACGCCACAGGCCACAACCATGCCAACAAGGTGGTGGAATATCTGGAACAGCTCTTCGAGTGCCACGATGCCCAGAAAGACCGCTCCATGGAGTTGTCTTCGCAGCTCCATGCTGTCATGAGCCACGTCAAGTCAGCCTGTGGTCTCTGCAACAGCAACTTGAGCCAGGTGAATGCTGTCAGCAACACCCAATGGACGCATGGAGATCTCCTCAACTCCCTGCACGAGACCCTACGAAAGCATGATGAGAAGCTGAAGAAGCAGTCTGATGCTATCTCAAAAGTGCAAAGCCAGTTGGAGAAGATCCTCCTGAAGCTGACTCCAAGGCGCCGCCGCCCCCTCCACCCGGCGCAACAACCAACACTTCCGCTGGGTCTACGAGCTCGACTACGCCTACACAGCCGACACCTACGCATCCCGCGACTGTGCCACAAGCCTGCTCGCCACCTCAGGGCAGTGGTGATCCGCCCATCATCAGGCTCAGTGACCAGATGGGCCCACGACAACCCTTGCAGCTCTTTGAGAACCTCGGAGTGCCCGCCAATCGCTGGCCACAGCCCGCCTTCGACACAAGAGATCCCCACACGCAGCAAGCTCTAGCATATCTCCTGGGAATCTTTGGGTCGCAGTGATTGTCATCCTGCTTCCCAATAGATCCTAGTTTTTGGTCCTTTCTTATTTTGGAAGACCCGTGGACACTTGAGCAATTTAATTACTGCATGCATGCATAATTTCTAATTGGTAATTCAACTCGAACCTGTGCCATGTAATTTACGACTGCCCGTCCCGGCGCTGCACAAAAAAAGATGGACCGGCCTGATGCTCTCCATGCTGTAGCCCCCGAGATACCGAAGTCACTTTTGCAGCCTCTTGTAGTTGTTTTGCTAGATGGTACCTTGGTCCTGACAGCTGCACCTCCGTAGTCCCGTCGGCTCGCAGGTCCTGCCCACTGTATCGTCATGTCACGACAGCTAAGAAACAAAGAACTGAAGATTGAAACCCTTTCAGAGCGTGCGATCTCGAGCCTATCAGGCCTGGAAAGGGAGGAACAGTGTAGGGTTGTCTCAGATATCATCCGGTCCATCCCCCCCCGACACTGGGACACGGATGAAGGTAGTAACAATTTCATTGTGATAGGACAATGCCCCCGGAAGTCCCAACGTGTTACAAACTTTACGTCCCTCTTTCCCCATTGCACGCTTCTCCTTGCGAACTTTATCCAGCTCACAACCCTGTCTGTTAGGACTGGACCCGGGAAACCTCCACACCGTGATGCCCGAAACTCCCATGCCCCCCTCAACCATAATGGGACTTACGGATTACACTCAAGGCAGGTTGTGGATTGAGCATCCCGAGGGCACAGTAGAAGGTTGGGCCCATGGATCCCTGGACACACTACTAGGTTTCTTCCACTGCATACGACATCGTGCAATCCTCTTTTCAGGGAAAACACTTCTTCATGGAACAGAGAGATGGGAAGATGCTGAACGCATGATCCTGAATGCCTGGTGCCCTCAACTTGCAGTCAACAACACAGAACATTTCAACACCCTTCTACATCTTTATGGCCTACAGCCGCCCCGTAAAGGGTCTGATCTTGATGATTTCAGCTTGGCTACCTTCTACGGTCATCAAGTCGTCCGACAGCTTAAATTACAAGATGCCCTCCACCAAGCTCCCATAACCCAAACCATCAACTCCTCCTCAGAGTCGGAAGATGTCATCACAACCTCGTGCAGAAGTCGATCCAGGTCGGCTTCAAGGGCGGGCTAAGGACCCAGGAGAAAATACTGCTGCTCAGGAACACCTTGGAGTCCTGGCTGGTGACAAGGACACTGACGTATGCAAAACGCGTCCCCTCCTTGACCCTAATCCTGCATGTAATCTGCGCGTCGTCCGTGTATTCCCTGGCCCCTCGTGGTTTTCGTTGCATAATTCGTTTCTGCATAAAATTTAAATTTAACCCATTTAGGGCATAACAACCCGAAACTACAGCCGAGCCTGTCATAATTAGTTCTTGCTCTCCTTCCTCCTCTATCATCTCTCTCATTTCGTTTCTCCTTTCATCATCACTGAATGTCGTCCCTGAATCTGGACCCTAGCCCTGCCTTGAAGCCATGGCTCGCTGCCATGCCAGCTGACGAATCTTTCTGCGCTGGACCTCAACTGGCAAGGGGCAAGGATAGATGAAGCCAGCTACAACTGGAAAATGGGGATTAAACCCCCTGACAGCCTGACTGCATTTGGGAAGCTGGATGTTGCATGAATGGCTCATGCGAGTACACCAGAGGCCGAGAGGCAACGCCAGGCCTTGCAAGACCATGCTGAAGCCCTGCTGGAACAACGCATCCAAGCGGTGCTCACGACAAATGCAGCTTTAGGCTGCAAATCTGATTGCCTTGAAGCCTGCATGACTCGACCTGTTTATCTTGCAATCTCCTCTTCCCTACAGACAGTTCCTGGAGCTTGTGGGGGACATATACCTATGCAAGCCACCTCGACCTACAACTGCGGACGTGTTCGCTGAATTCCAACGACTGGGAGACAGAAACCCACTGAATTTATGCACAAAGACTGGACGCCTGCCACAACACGTATAGCTGAAAGTTTTGTGCAGATAAGTGCAAATTACTTTCTGAGGACTTACTTCATGGGTGACATGACCATCCGTGCTACCTGTGAAAGGCTGCTATAGAAGATGTCTGGAAACTGGTCTCCTACATGTGCATACTACACAGACAGGAGGTTGCTGTCGCCAAAGATTGGAAACTACAGTCGAACCACGGATGAGAGCTGAGAGGCAGCACTGGATCTCCTGCACGAGTCAAACCCATGAACTGCCGCATTTCTGAGACGCACTGAATTCTTTGCATGGGGATGTTGAGAGACATCAGTTACTGCATGCCCAAAGCTAATTGACGGATGCATGCATACCTGTATTTTAGCTTGTGACGGCCAGTAGAAAACCACAATTAGATGCACACACTTTGATTTTGATCACAACGTTGTCCCGAAGTGAAGCCAAGACGGCATCTTTACCCTAGGCTCCGTAGTGACCTAGTGAGATACAGGCGGATGTCCACTGGGTTTGTTTGTTTCAGCGTTTTTTATCCTTCGTGTTTTGGTTATTGCCAACAGTGGACGTTGGGCCTGTTTGACACTTGACTTAGCAAATTGGGGTGGTCTCTGGTTATCTCGGTGTTGTTGGGGGTTGGACACCGCTCCCTTTGCTAGGTTGAGTTAGGCACTGAAAGTCGGCGTTTATGCAATCCGTCTCCCTTTGCCTATCGGTTGCTGATTGGCGTTAGCTGTTACCTGAGGGGATTGTGTGTAACCGTTGACCTTCACACAAACAGTCTTCAACAGTCAAACGAGTTCCCTGCGGTGCGACCTAGTCAGCTGGGCGGGTGGGAAAAAATTGTAGAGTCAGTTTCAAGTCAGGGTCCCAGGAAGCCACATTCCAGATCCCGATGCTGAGAGCGCATACATACCTAAACTTGACTTCTTTGCATAAGCCCAAGCCCGATCCCTGAAACCGTACCCTAAACTCTGAACGCGAAGTCTCAAGACTTGAGCCCACTGAAGCATTAAAGCTTGCTATGGCCGTTTCCAGGAACCTCTTCGACCCCTTGGGCATCGAGGGCCCCTGCAGGCAAAGAGGGGCTCATGAAAGTGTTGTCCTTGTGTCGGTAGACCGCAACAGGCCACAGACACAGGAGGATCCGTTTCTAGCCATTTGGCTCGCATCTCGGTGGAACCCGATCCAACGGCAGCCATGAGCGGCTCCGTGCCCCCCAACTTCCTCTTCGACTGGAAGAACAGCCTGGCCTCCGTGAAGAATACCTTCATTCACGTAGACGATGGCGAGCTTGAGTGGTGGGATCCCACGCGCCCACTCCGACGCACCACAAGCTGCCCAGGTCTCCTTCAGACCCCCATCGAGGCCGAGGCCGAGAAAGAAACTTCAGAAGCTTCCAGGCTCCAACCTGTGCTTCCGAAAGCGGGCTTCCTCCCGTGGGAGGACTCTACGGATGTGGGAGAAAGATCGGCATCAAAGGACACTAAAGACTCGACACGGATGGAGGAGGCCTCGATGTTTGAGCGGAACATGCTGCTTCACCAGCTCGGCAACTGCAAGCCGTGCTCCTACTACTACTTCAAAGATGATGGTTGTCGAAACGGTGATAGCTGTGAGTTCTGCCACTTCTGCTCTCCGGCAGCCGTCAAGGAAAACAAGCGGCAGCTTAAGCGTGATGCACGCCGAGAGAGGAGGCAGGCGCACCTGGAAGCAGCGCGTGAGGCTGCCCAGGACAAGGCCCCCGACCTTCGGCGTGCGGGCAGCCGTGCAAGGACGGCTTCCTCCGCAAATGTGCGGTCATAAGATCCTGAGATGATGGAGTGTGAGCCTGAGCCCAGCAATCTGACATGTGTACCCTCCCTTAGTTACCACTGCTGCCACTGTGCGGCAGGTGTAGCGAGAGTTTTGGCTTTCCATCCTGCATTGAAGAGCCATTAAGCATCAATTGCTAGTCCTATGGCATCCTATTGCTTTTGTGGAGGGGTTTTGTCCACTTGAGAGAGTGGACTGCAACGAAAGCCGTCTGTTGGCGAGTTGTCTAGTTGGACCTGTGGGTAGGGGAGCTGGCTCCCACATGAAGTTCGTGCAGTCAGTGTTTTGATTTCTCGCGGTCAGCTGCCCAACTCTCCACTACGATGGCAACTTGGAGGAGGGATCCTTCGACAAAGTCCATGCAGTGAGGCATGCAGAGCCATTTTCAATCGTAGCATCTACAGAGCCCGAGCCCTTTTCCTTCCTTGCCAGTGACTGGTGTTAGGTCTTGACATCGACTGTCGATGTTGTGCTGTAGAGGTTCGCCTCGCGGCGCGCGCCAGGATGGCTTTGAATTTGACCCTTGTTACAACATCCGCGCGGAGATGCAAGTGCCTGTTATGCTGTTGAGGACAGAGAAAGAGATTGAAAGCTACTGGGCAGTGTGTAGTTAGTGGGGGCACCAGCGACCTGCATCTTCGCAGCTGATTCTCTAGACATCACCACGCGGCTGGCTAGGCGATGCCAGGTGCCAGCTCGCAACAGCCGCTGCGCTGCAATCGCTCGAACGGAGCCTTCCGTAGCCCTTTAAGAGAAGAGCTTCAGAAGTAAATGCACTTGAAGTGATAGGACTGAAAGCTGATTTTGAGTTTTCGCTCCGCTTCAAGGGCAATTCGAGCGCTGCGGCTTGCCAGATCTGGGGATTTGATGCATCTGGCCGGCTTGGCACCGCCCGCAAGTCCCGCGGAGTTCTTGCCAAGCAGGACTGCAGCGGCAAAGAACCTCCGCCAGGGTCCCTTGGCCGTAGACGTGCCCTGGGGCCCCCACCTTTCCAGCTTGCAGTCGATCAAGTCGCCAGACAAGCACAGGATTAAGCGCGAGACATCCGAGGAAGCATTGATGACATTGGGCCGCATTGGGCCACTAGCCCAAGAGAGTATTAGACGACATCTAGAGAGATTTCCCAAACCTTAACGGATGTCGGGCCCCGCTGAGTGGACTCAAGCGGGAGCTGTGCACTTTTAGGCACTGTGCGCACGACGCCCACGATTACTTCCCTTGAACCCGCATGGCCTGGGTACCTCCTAGGCCATCTGCCGCTTCAGGGATTATTCTTGGTTTTGAAATCCAGGCTGGCCGCGCCGAAGTTTTACGGGGGCCGCCCTTGAGCTGAAAGAACTTCCATGCTCGCAGAGTGACCAACTTCGGAAGTTCCCAAAACGCTTTGGCTTATGACGGTGTGGTGGTTGGTTCGCCGCGGAGGTTGGTCACGAACAGGCGCAGCTGTGCCAATGGTAGTTGTGCTGAGACCCGTCGTGAAGCTTTGCTTGCCTGGAGCGAGGAAGTGAGAGTCGAAACCTTAAATATTCAGAGCTCCCCTGCACCGGAGCACCACTCCTGTGATCGGTCGCAGGGCAGTACTGGAGCACTGGATCCAACCGCTGAACATGCTGCAGGTGGAAGCAGGTTGATTTGGCAGGAACCTCTTCGAGTGTTGTCCTTGTGTCGGTAGACCGCAACAGGCCACAGACACAGGAGGATCCTTTTCTAGCCATTTGGCTCGAGAGTTGAGGGTAAAGAAGGAACACACATCTCGGTGGAACTCAACCCAACGGCGGCCATGACCAGCTCCATGCCAGCCAACTTCCTCTTCGACTGGAAGAACAGCCTGGCCTCCGTGAAGAATACCTTCATTCACATAGACGATGGCGAGCTTGAGTGGTGG